TAGAATATTTAAATATTTCTTATAATTAAATTATTTTATATATACAGTAAAAGTATATTAAATTTGTAGATATAGTGAAATAATTCTAAAAAAAAAATGGTTTTAATAACAAAAAAAAAAAGGAAAAGAGAAACTAATGAAATGTAATATATACAATATAAAAATATTAGAATAATTTATGAATAATTATTTCTAAAGTAGTATGGAATTGTTAAATATATATATATATATTTATATATATATAATTATGTTAATTCATACCATCTATAAGAAAATATAAATGTATTCTTTTTAAACTTACATAATTTTTTTTAACACGCATTAATTTTAATTTTTTTTATAAATGTATTAGTAATCTTTGTTCTATTATTAAAATATTAAAAATATTAAAAAAAATTAAAAAAAAAAAAAAAAGTATAATTCATTTTTTTTTCCTTTTTAATATACATACTTATTCTAAAAGGAATATTTTTTATAAATAAGAAATTAATATTTAGGTGTAAAAGATACAAAATGATTTCAAACTTTTTTAATTATTTTTATTTTTGTGTATTTTACTTTATTCATATTATAAAGATTGTATCCATTATTTCTTTTAGAATAAATAGTAATATTTTTTAATTCCAAAATATTAAAAAAGAAGTGTAATTTTTTCACTATCTTATATGCCATATAAAATATTTTTCCAATTTATAACAATTATTCAAATCTTTTTTTATTTTTGATAATGATTTTAATATTTCATTTGTGCAAAATTTGAGGTTAGTTAAAATTTAATAATATTAAAAAAAAAAAAAAAAATTAAATTTTTAATATGTCTTTACAAATATAATAAAAATATTAAAAATAAAAAAATATTACTTAAAAAAAAAGTTACACAGGAAAAAAAAAAAAAAAAAAAAAAAAGCATTTCATGAAAATAAAAAAGGAGTAAATATAACGTATTATAAAAAAAAGCATATATATATGTAAAACCCAAAATAAAATATAAATTCTTAATTTCTATTATTAAAAAAGAAATAAATATATATAAATGAATAAAATTACATATATTTTTTGTTAATATGTTACCAAAAAGTTACATAACTTGTAAAGAACTATATTCTATGCATCCAAGATATTCATTATTTATTGTAGCAATAGCAAACATATTAGATAAATCATAACGTATACCTTGTAATTTAATTCGAACTGCTGTTTGAGGTTTTATATTATAATCTCCTGAGGAAAAACTAGGATAATGAGCATCTTCTGTATATTCAAAACATTTTGGAATAGCAGTTCTTGAAATAAAAATTTTTAATGGTCCTGCTTGAGCAAAAAAACCTAATTTATTTACATCTGTAACAATAGCATCTAAAACCTGTAAAAAAAAAAAAAAAAAAAAAAAAAAAAAATTTATACAAATATATATATATATTTACTTATTTAAACTTTATCTATTTTTATTTATATATATTTTCCTTTTTTATATGGTTTTTTTTTCATATAAATTATTATTATATTTTAAATTTACTTCATCTTTAAATGGCTTAAAAACGATTGCTTGATATTTAACTCTAACAACAATCATCCCTGTACCATCTTGTACCCTACCAGGTTCATTATGAATTATTCTAATTACACAAATTATATATCCATATTTAGCATTACATTGACCTTCAACACTATTTCTTAACATGTCTTCTATACATTGCTGATATCTTGGACCTAATTGACTTGGTTTTATAGTTACGTTTTTCCATTCTTCAATGACAAAATACATTTTAAACTATAATTATTTATATTTCTTTTTTTTTTTTTTTTTTTTTTTTTTTTTTTTTTTTTTTTTTTTTTTTTTTTAACAATAAAAAATTTTAATTTTATTTTTTTTTTTTTTTTATCTATAAAAAATTTTTTTGAATGATCATCTCTTTTCAAGTAAATTAGTATGATTAAAATATAATAATATATATTATATTTTACGATTTAATAATTTTAAAAATATGTATTTAAATTTTAAAATATCTTATAATTTAAATTTATATTTTAATTAAAAAACATAATTTAATTGAAAAATACATTTTATTTTAAATAGTCATATTTTTAAAATTATTTTTATATTTTCAAAAAATTAATTCATATGTATTTAAAAAATTCAGAAAATATATATTTAGTTTTTTTTTTTTTTTTTTTCTAGTTTATTTCATTATTATTATAATGCACAAATATTAGAATTTATAGTCTGAACATTGTTAACACTAATTGTATAGGGAAAAAAATTTTTTTTTTTTTTTATATTTTTAAATGTTTAGCTGTTTTTAAAAATTCAAAACTTTTTAAATTATTATAATTCAATTTGAAAAATATATATATAGCTATACATTAAAAACTCTATATATAATTTAATAAATACATTCTTCATATATTTTTATTTTTTAAAATTATTCATTTTTATATTTTAACAGAAGGTAAAAAAAATATATATATATATATCTCTATTATATATTTTAAAGGTATGAGTATTACAGCTGGTAAGTGTTGTAAATATATCAGAAAATATTTCACAAATGGGCTACGCAAAAATGCTTTGCCTTATTTTATTTATTGTAAAAATAAACCATTTCTTATAAATCCAAAATTAATACAAAAGTACTCTTTAGATAATGTACCAAAAAATGTTATAAATAGGTTATATAAAAATAGAAAAATCTTCAATAATATTTTAATTTTTGTTTTTAAGATTCTATTTTTTTTTTTTTTTCTTTTTACAAATTATATTGTAGGTATATACAAGATAAAAGAAGATTGAAGAATGATAATATATAAAAATTGAGTTAAAATAAATAATATTTAAAAAAGATATAAGATTTTATTTGTGAATTAATGTACCATTGATATTTTTGCAATTTCAAAAAGAGTTATTAAAAAAAGACAAAATTACTTTTTAGTTGTTTTAAAAAGCAAGTTAACATATATACAAAATGTTTTAAATTATTATAAAAACTTCAAGGAAAAAAAAAAAAAAATAATAATAAGATAAAATATATAGATGTCTATCAAAATTTATATTAACCATTGTTTTCTTAAAATTTTTAATATTAAATATTTTTTAATAAAAAATTCCATTCCTAAATATTCTATTGCTTCTATTTCAAATTTATAGTTCATTTTTTCCATTTCACAAACTTCCTTTTTAATTTGAGAATAATTTAAATTTTTGTCTTCTAATAAATTTTTTATTACCTTTTTTTCTTTTTTAGTTAGTACTAATAGGGATTGCTTTGGAAACAATTTAATGTCTTCCGAGCACATTCCTATCCACTTTATATTTTTACATGAACATATATTATTTTCATATGTTGAATTTCCTTCTTTATATGTAAGATAAATTCTAATACCATAAGGATCATAATCACCAACATAAGCACACTAGATAAATAAATGTGAAGATACATTATAAATATTTATGAAAATATAAACAAGGTATTCTATATTTTTTAAGAATATTGTTACTTCTAAATTAAATAAGGCTATAAGTTGATAAAGAATTTTTCTTGTTGAAAAATCAGGAAATCCTTTTCCAGTTATTAAAATACACGGAAGAATCTGAAAATAATATATATATATATATATATATATATATATATATATATATATATATATATATATATATGTGCATAATTTTTTTCTAAAAAATTTTAGTATACATCCCAAATTTTGTGTTGACAGAGTTTTTGATATAGAGAATATTTTTCAACAACTATTATATAATGTGCTAATGTATCAATTTTATCAACATTTAAAAGACACTCATTAATCATTAAACCATTATCTAAATTTTTGAGAAAAAAAAAAAAAGTTTATTTTTAATCTTTTTAATTCTTTTTTTTTTTTTTTTTTTTTTGCATATTCTTATATTAATCTCAAATATGATATATGTATATTTTTTTTTTTTTTTTTTTTGTTTTTCTTTTAAATAACAAAATTTT